TGTAATTCTTTGTATGCTTGCATACTTCGTGAATAAAGATGATTGACTGATTCATTGATTGACTGAGAAAATAAACCAAAAGAGCTTAATCTCCCACTACAAACAGGAGGTGAGGAAAGTGAAATCCCAGACAGACCATCTCCGGTAAAAAGGAGCTTTGATGGATTACAAGACAGTACATTAATATTCCTGAGAAGACAGGCTTCTCATTGAGTAGTCAGGAGCAGCGCACCTCTACCTCTACAACACCGCAGGGGGATGATAACAGGTCTTTAATGGCAAGGTTGATATCATTATACAGACACTCAGGAATAATTCACAGGGACAGCGTACATTGTCCAAAGTCAGATTATGTTAAACTAAGCCAAAAAGGTTCTCCAGAGGTGTTTCAGAGCTATGCATATGCGTTTTAACAACATCCAGTAGGTTTCTGTCTCCATAAAAAGCACTGACTTTGAAGAATTTATGAGGGGAAATGCAAACCTTTAATCAAATACTGATCAAGTAATTATGTGCTAATAGAGACAACTAGAGTAACACACAGGCAGTAGCATACAGTAACTGTGCTGATGGAGTTCCTGTAGAAATATGTAACATGTCTATGACAAAACTAGGAAAAAGCAACTGAACTCTTCGCTTGGCATCACCGCCATCATTACTAATATTGCTATTATTTTTCAAAACAACACAAACCTGAAAGGCATTTTTAGGCTTTTTGCTCTCTTAGTTAATAAGATTATGTAAATTAAATATATAATGACACATATAAATGGAGGTAATCACTTAATATTTTGGTTAATATAATGCCTGTAGCTTTATATTAGCCAAATAGACAGCCTATTACTTGAATTGTGACATTTTAAAAATCCTATTTAAACTGCTAATTACTTCTAAATCAATTACTGACGTTTAATACTACGGCGAGCTAATGGATTTGAGAAACTTTGACAAGGAATGATGCCTGAAGTCTTTTTGATGTGCGCCACAAGACCTTGGACATCAACTTTATTTGCAAACAGAACATGAACTTACTGTATAAACATGGGTTTCCTCCCAAAAAGAGTCCTCCAGCTCCCCATGTCCCCAACCCAAAGTTCCTTCCTCAGAACACCTGCTAACTGTGGGTTACAGCACCAGTCCTCTGCCTCTGTGTGTACCACTGTCCATGTGTGGTATGTCCCTGTGTGTGTGTGTGCAGTCCATGAGACTCCCCATGGCTCCACCAGCATATAGCAGATATTTATTCATAAATGTGCGATGATCTGTTATATTTCTGAATCACCTTGTCTTTCAAATATCATATCAGCCATATCATTTTCTCTATCACATAATTTGTTTTCATAAGGTGAGTATAGTTATTGCTGATGTATTATCAACACAGCCTAATCAGAAGAAAACTCCAAGGCTTTAAGTCTGTCTTTGGTCTGAGACTTTGAATTCCAGATTACTTTATGTCTACTACAAGATTGATTGTTTGCAATTCAAAAATATCTCTCATCTCTCCTTGGCTGGAAGTCTATAATCAAGCTGAAACTTGCACATAATAAGGTGTTGGGCTTTTTAGCATGGCAGCAGCCCTTCCCTATCTGGAAGTGCACGGCATGAAATGTGTGAAGATTTATAATTATGAGTGGGCTGCCCATGGTTATCTCAGAAGAGCTTTCTTTGAAGAAACGATTCCATTTCTGTGCCTCCATTTGAAATGTGTGCATGCATCTTCATCTGCTGAAAAATGGAAATCTGTAGACAGGAAAATTACTGTGGTAACACCTTCTTAGCTCCAGCTTGGGTTGGTACAATGCTTTGAATATCACCTTTGTGTGACTGTACCACAGAGATGATGGACCCAGAGGAGGAACAGTATATACTGCAATCATCAGCAGCTTCATCAGCAACAGAGGTCACTCTCCTCATCGACTAACTGAACAGCGCCCTGGGCTTTCTAGGTGACACAGAAAGAGCTTGATGTTCATGAGGTGTCTTTGATTATACGTCACTATTTGATGACATAATATGCTTTACACTAGGGGGAGACAAAGACCCTTCTTATACGGAAAAGGTTTGTATTCTGCAGATGACATAATTAATGACATTTTTATTGATGAAAAATAGTTGCACCTCTTTTGTCATCCTTAGGCAACCTCTTTAGACAACTTCGAATGAATGGACTACAGGCCGGGATAGAAGGAAAATCAGCAATGCATGTGCAGACTGCTTTGTCAGGACAATACCAAGCTTCTAAATCCCTTTATATCACTAATGGCACTTTATGTGATTAGCTCTTTCCATTTAGGAGCAAAGAGAACTTCAAATTAAGAGCGTTTATAGTCACATCTAGTCTGTATTCTTGGTGTGGTGTCACTTAAAATGCTTACCAGAGCAGTCAAGGCCCTGTGGGTTAATTGAAGCGTATTTCAGCAGAATGTGGGCCATATTACTGGGCTGTGTCCTCGGGGAGGCACTTTGTAACAACAGATAACAATAGAGAGAGTGGAGGGAGAGGCAGGGAGAGAGAAAGAGGGGGTGGTGGTGGTGTGTGTAGGGGGTGCAGAATTGCACTGTCACAATGCATCTTAAAGCTATAATGTCATGCTGTTGCAGAGTTTATGAGATGTGTCTCACAATCAGTAACCAGTACATGTGAACATGAAGGATGAATAAGTGGTGTGCTTATTACATTACCTGTTTACCATTCAAACAAGCCACCTGACCTTGGAAGATACTGCTTCTGCATCAGACCTGTGTATCTAGTCTCTTCTATTCCTCTCTTCTATAGCTCTATGTCTCAACTATTGCTTGGTAATATCTTTGCATGGCAGCATGCCTTGCTACAGGCATGCCTGGGTTGCTATAACAACAGCTGCTGCTATATCTGTCACTGCTGTGGGTCACGGCTAGCTAAAAGAGCAATGTACATCACATCGCTCTCTAACTGTCAGTCTTTTTCACGTCCTCCCTAGGAGCATCTTCACCTTTTGCTGTATGTCTCTGTCTGCCACAGCCTTTCTGGCCTTGCTTATCTGGACCGGCTCTACTCTCAGTGAAAAACACTCTGTTACTGTTATATAGTATAGTACTATCTGTGAATTTCAATCACTGTGCCATTGAGCTGATGTATAGTTTTGCAGTGTGGTTTGGTGACTGCACCATCAAGGAACAACAGGCAATCCAGAAAGTTACAGTATTAGAGCTGCTGAGAAAATTATTGGTACTTAGCTACCGGACATTAGCAGAGTGTACACCTTGCAGTGCTCTAGCCGAGCTTCTAATATTGTCAGAGAAAAATTGCACCTGAATCAGACTAGAACAGTCTAGGAACAATAGTTTTTTCCCAAGCAGTGGTACTGCTCAATGAAATGTTTTAGCTCTGACTGACTGACTTTTATCTATTAATGAAGTTAGTTATCTATTTATTAAATTGAACTTACTTTAAATGCACATATTATCAAAGCTTACCTTAGTTTTTCTCTTTTCTTTTTATTATCTGGTTTATGGGAGCACCAGTGCCTCATTGTGTTTTGAAATGCAGTGACAAAGTTATCCTGATTCTGCGCCTCAGCCCAGTGCAGACTGTGACAATTAGAAATAAGTAGAAGTAGAACAAATTGAAAGTGCTCTCTGTTAGCTGCTACACTGCATTGTTAATGAGAGCTGGAAACCACGCAGATGATTACTGTGGTTGATTTAGAGTCCGCTCCTTTCCTTCCAGTGCCACCACAGTCACAGATAACAAGAGCTGTGGGGGGGCCAATACAATTTCCTTCTACACCCGGGGAAAAACCTTGAAGTGCTCGTCCTATTGTGGCATTTTATTGGCAATTCAATTACACTGAAGTGAAAATAATAGCGTCACTATGAACTATGGAATGCATTGTATTTAATAGCTCAAAAGCAGCTCACTCACACAGGAGATATCTAACAGACAAAGAACAGTGTGGTATGATTGATTCACAAAATATATACATTTCTACTGAGTTGTACTATAGAAATAGGCACGCATTTAGTCTCAATAGCAATGCTATTGTAGAACATTAGCAGCAGTCAAAGCTTAATAAATAGAGTACAGGTATGCAGTAAGACAACTTACTGAATGTACTTTGACATTAGTGTTGAAAATGGCTTAAAGGTTTACACAGAGAAGAGTATAAGAAAGAGCCCTAGATGAACTGACATGACGTGGATTAGTGTAATCGGGTATTGTCTGTTTTATATATTTCCATTACACATACAGCAGAACAGGGAGCGAAGCACACTCATACAGTGTGAAACCTATGCAATCCATTTTCCTTAAAAAGACATTAAAATATTAGCCAATACAAATGAAACTGTGACCCAAAATTTCAGTTTATAAAATTGTAATAAAGCAAAATGAACTAATCAATACTACACAGTCAGTATAATTGCTTTAACAGCAGCAGGACAAATTCCTTGGATCATATCTGTTTATATGGGATATAAATTGCAGAAGTACCACTAACCAGTAACTCTACACACTGCAGATCCAAATGAACTATGGCTGGTATTTGTCCAAAAAGAAGTGCAGCACACTGACATGTTTGTTTGTTTGTTTACCTGCTGTATTTGTGAAAGCATTTAATTTCAGATGCCTGGCACAAAGGTTCAAAGAGGAAAAAAAGAGAAGAAGAAATGAGCACTTGGACATTTTTTGACTGGCTCTTCACAACAGCTTCAGGGTGGCAGAGATGAGGTTTCTGTCACATGAGCCTGAAAGTCCCATCGTGATTGGTCAACACCTAAAAAGAGCAGAGAACATGTTTCCTCTTATTCAACATGGAATGTTTTGCATGCTAAATGACCAGTCTCATATTTGCAATATTAAACAATATACAGTTTCCACAGAATCTAATTCACATAAACAGCTGTGTCCTTTAGGTTTAATAACTCAGGAGTCCTACTTCATATACATGCAAATGCCATATGCTGTTATAATGTGTCACACTCATGTTGAAGTGTTGAATGAAATACTAACAATTTACCTTGCACCAAATTTATTCTAACATTTCTCATGGCAAATTCCTGACAGTTAGAGAGATTGTACATTGAATGGAAAGTGAGTACACATGGAGGACTTGTGATTATGCAACAGTTCCAGAAATGGCAGCAATGACGGCCCCTTTGAAGGGAATGAGCACGAGATGACACAGAAGCAACAAGACTCCACTACAGAGCAGTACAGTTATAAACAATGACTTGGAAGAGAGGGAGATGATCACACTGATCAGGATCAAGTCGAGAGAGTCACATATAAAATACCGTGTCACTGACAACCACTTTTATTCGGTAACTGGAGCAGCTGGATTGTCTTTCTGCTCAGAGGGAATGGCTAGGTAGTTTGTCCTGCAGGTAGATTGGTAGAGAAACAGAGGAGTGTCTAAGACCTGGTGGTAGAGCTGCCTCTACTGCTATACATCACAGTAAAGTCCTGTAACATTTATCTTTCATTCATGAACATACATCCCTAGAGAGCATGAGTTTTAAAAAGATTAGAACCACCGCTGTGTGAGTGGGGTGCTACTGTGCAGGCCGCACATCGGGAGGACATGACAGCCTCATACACTATTTAACATCAAACTTTCATATTGTAAAAACCACAGTACCATCACTACATATGCACCCAGTTCTGCACAGAAAATGTGTAGACAAAGAAACATTCATACTAGTGAAAATTTCAGACAGTATAATATTGTAGCTCTGACAAATTATCACTTTTATTGTGGGGCTTCATCTTTTCCCTCCGTCACATGATTCATATGATCTGAGCCACTAATGCATCACAAAATGTAACCTCAAACTGGCTGTGCTACATATCCATTAAGTCTCTGAGTGGGTGAAGTGTCTCACTGTGGGATGTGTTGTCACACAGGTCAATAATGAATGTGAGGTGGCAACAGCATATTAACTCTTTCAGCTGCAGGCACTGATGACGTTTAAAGAGATATACACATTCGATTTCTTGATGTTTAACTTAACGTGGCCTCCTAATCTTTGTTTAGATCAATAAACCTGGTTGCCGAGTTCTCATTACATATGTTTATCCACAAAACTGGAGTGATTTAACATATTATCGAATATATGCGTACCAGGCAATGCTTGTAAAAATAAATGCACTAAAATACAATCTAGAAGAACAGCTCAGCAATTAAGACAACCACTGTGAAATCTCACATTGGTCAGGTTATCAGGTGTTAGTTTGGACTGCAAGTAATGTTTTTTTATTATTATCAAATCATTTTCTGGATGAATTGTTTTGGCGATAAAACAGTGAAATATTATATTCACAGGTTCCCAGAGCCAAAGCTGGCTGGCATCTTCAAATTGCTTGTTTTAGCTGATCATCCATCAAAAACTAAAAGTTAACTATCAGAACAGCAGCAAATTCTCATATTTTTGATTCATTTGCATTAAAGAACAAATCATTTCAGCTCTAGTTTTAATTAAATTAGATGATTTTTGAGAACATAATACTGTTTCTGCTATGGTTGTATTGGTTTGTATTAGTACTGTATATAGTGATAATTTTATTTTGTGATTCTGTTCAGTTGTGCTTTATTTTACGTCTGCACATAATTTCGAACAATTTCCCCAGAGTTTTTGAAAAGAACTTTGGCTCTAACAGAGAAAAAGAAAAGTGTTTAATTAATACTTTCCACTGCATTCATTTCAATTAGTCTAAAGTAACCAGGCAAAAGTACAACTCAGCATACAAGGACAATAATATTTCAAATAATGAATAAATGGAGCCTGTCTTTCAAGAAAATGAATAGTTTTTCCTAAAATTTGTATCTAATTGCAGTTATTTGTAGGAAGCTTTGTAAGAAACATTTGTTCTCTGGTAAATAACATACTGTAAGAATACAAACACAACCCAAATTTTACAATACCTGTGTCCTGCAGAATATTATAACTGTATTCAGTTATGCTGTATTATGTCCATCTTCTGTATAATTACTGATGTAAAAAACATATAGTGTTAGAAGTGCTTTGTGAAGTATTTGGGTTCTACGTGTCCCTACAGGAGTCGGACTTGGAAAAAAAGAATGAACTGTCTGCAAAGCCACAATGGCTGGTGTGTTATCTGACTGTGCTGTTCAGGACATGCAGCATACTGACTCTTTAAAGGTTGTCGATCGGCCTAGTCACCACCACGATGGGAGCATTCTGGTGAGAATCCAGATAAAGTTTGTGCACAAAGTCAGTTTCTGATGAAGCTGCAAATCCGCCACAGACGTAAATAGGATAATTGGGAAAAAAGAGCAGTCAGCAGTGTTTAGAGTTATTCAGGCCTGTCAGGCAGCCTAAGTTAAAAGACAAATTACTGTTGCAGGAGGGTAACAAACTGATGCAATACAGACTCAGGTACCTCTCTGTCTGTCTGTCTGTCTGACTCTGTACCCTCCCTCCACTCAAGTCACACCAAGTTACATTTCATTTTTATAGCCGGATATACCAAATCACACACACACACACACACACACACACACAAACTTCATAATCTTTAGATGTTGTGTGTTTAATCAATACTCTCCAGCCAAATCAAAATAACCAGAAATTCAAGCACTCACGAGTAACACTGTCTTGGTGACTCATAATATAAACACACTGCAACGATGTGGTGTGGCTCATCTAAAACAGAAAGCTATTATAGATGTGCATCGTGACAATGTTGACAGCAGGTTTGTTTTCACAGCGTTTCCATTAGCTGTTTTCCGCCTCATGTTTATGTGTGACTGAGTCTGTGCATCTGTACATTTATGTCTGTGTGAGACTCACACTGTGTCCTCCGTCTGCTCGTCAGACTTGGAGATCTTCCTGTAGCAGTAGACCATCTCTACCAGGAGCCATAAGGTCAGGAACACCAGCAGCACATACATCATGATCTCAGAGTAGAGCGCTGTGGGGTCCACACTGGCTGTGAAGCACAAACAATACCAAGCCGCATGTTAATATTCAGGATGCGTCCTTTCTCTGAATGCTTTAGTGTTGAATGGAGCTGTGGAGACTGTTTTATTCATAGGTTTCATAAAGTATGCCAGGCTTGTTCATGTATGTTCATGTTTCACTGAACATCTAACTCTATGTAAAATCGTTATTACTATGCTGAATTTAAGCAAAGCAAAGTCTTCTGGAGAGCATCCAGATAAAGTGTATTTCGACCTAAAAAATGATGCACAAGCTATGTTGCACACAGAACACCATGACCGTACCTGAGGGTCAATGATAACAAAGCCTAGGACGATAAAGGTGCCTTGTGGAGTTTTCTTGTAGACAAACAGTTTCTTTTTAATCAAAGTGTGCTTTGCATATACATACATACTAAATAAGGCATGTTTACATTCATGCTTCCATGTGAGCATTCTTCTTCTTCCCCACCTTTGCTGGCTACGTTTGTTGGTGTACAACCATCTGTAAACCAGCACAATAGTGTGAAAGTGATAGCAGGATGTGAATCACACCACCTATGCGCTCACATGTGCATCCTAGTGTCCGTGCAGGACACAAACAAAACAGGGATCCCTTTGTAAGAATGTCGCTCCATAGCACTTATCCGTGGTCAAAAACTCCACCAGGTACCTTTAAACATGAGAAAATGGACAAGCAAACTTGCAGTGTTTCTCAGGGCGTGAGAGATTGTGAATTTTGAGACATGACGACCTCATACTTTAGATCAGATTTTGATTTTATGTATACATATCCAGACCAATAACCTTATAATAAATTCATTAACTTATATCAGTTTATTTATAGGATTGATTTACATTTTGAAATCAACCCTCATATGGTCATATGAACACTGAAACTTTTTTTGCTTGCTGTAATAATTTCTCCTGTTTATACTGGTCATTAAAAAAAAATCCCTTGCATGTGTTTTTCTTTTTCATATCAAAAAGACTCTGGTGAATACCAGCCCACTCTCACAGCATAACATTGGTCCACAGCATCAAATCTAATAGTGGCACAATAATGGGTACAAAACTGTCACATGGCAACATTTGTTGTGTTGCAGCCAAGTGCCCTTCTTCGTGGTCTTCTTCTTGGTGCTTTAGGGCAGTTGTCAAACAAAGAAATGGCAGACTGCTGGTATTAACTGTGGAGATGGAAGCTGAAGGTGCACGATTTGGAGCTTTATAATGTTAAAAACACTAGGAGATGGCGGTTGGGTCAAACAAATACTTTCATGCAGGGAACTGGAAATCATGTCCTGTGCTTTAAGTGTTTTAAAATGTTTTAACTGACTTCAGGGCCTTATTCCTAACCGGAACCATCTGGTTTCTGTGCCTAAACATAACCATACCTTCAGTTTATATTTTTGATCAAACTCTGCCATGTTGCCAGTTTTGAGGTGTTACTGTGAGAGTAGTATGTTTAGCTATTATACATTTTGCTGTGAGACTAGGCTTTGAATATTATCCAATTCAAATTGCTCAAACCTTGCATTAATCTAAAATAACCCCTATAATGTATTTTTCCACACACAGAGAACTGCATCAACATCACTAACGTGCATTAGCAAGGGGTCTCTGACCAGTATGAAAAGGAAAAATTCATTCAGTGTTCATGTGGACATCTGACTATTGTTTAAAGACAGATTTGAAAAAATATGAACGCATCCTTTTATATTTTTTAATTGTGGAAACTTATGAGCCACTGTGAGCCACTGTGCCAGTAAGTGTGTACCAAATTCCAGGAAGCCTTCTGACCCGATGGTTGAAAAGTGCTATTGATTGACTGTCATTTGATTCTGTAGTCTCTGCAAACAGAGGCTATTAGTGTAAAATAATCTATTTGAAGGGAAAACATACATTTGCAATGAGCAAATCAATCTGCTACTATGGACATCACTATCATAACATGATGCCCAAGCTATAATGTAGAAGTACACTGCCTGAAGGCTCTGTGAAATCTGATACCACTGTTGTATGAGATATGAAGGAGAGACTTTTAAGTATGCATAGAACAGTAGTTTTCATTATATTTAGAAAGTTTCCTTAGGCGGATAATCACATCTGAGTGCCCCTCATCTTTTCCAGATACAAACCAAACACTGGCTTGTTGCTAATCTATGCCTATATGCATCTGATAGTGAACTGTAGTCCACGTGCAAGAAGATATAAAGAATGTAAAGAAATGGGAAGAATTAGGTTATACCAAATATACATGTTGTATTGTATATTCGATCAAGGTGGAAAATGACGCATTCAGCAAGCCAAGCATTCAGGAAGCAAAATACATTACCGCTTATTATAGACAGAACAGTAGTTGGTTTGAATTAACCCCTTCACTGACAACAGAAGAAAGCGTTGATGGACAATAAAGGCAGACAAAACAAAACACACAATTATTCCTCTTCATACAGTGACAACAAAGGGGAGAGAAGGAAAGGGGTGTTGTTAGTGGCAGGTTGCCTTCACACTGATGCATCACTTTGTGAAAACAGCGGGTCGTAAGAAAAAGCAAAACCCACAAAAACCTGTTGGATAAACACTTTATGCAACATCGAACGAAGGGCATGTGCAGCACAGGGAGAACACTCGGTACACAGAACTCGACACAGAGCAGAGACTAGTCTTTCTACCATGAGGGGCTATAAATTAAAGGCTCAACCTGTCCAGCACATACCAGGCGCAGCTCTATCATCATTATCATTATCACCATATTAAACATAACAGCTGGACTATGTTGTATTAAAATGTGCAATACCACAGTGAAATTATCATTTCAGCTGTCTTGCATCTGTAAGGCGAGTTTCTTTAATTAAATTTACCTCAGTTCTGAGAACATTGGTTAACATGAATCAGTTCTGCTAATAAAGCATGTAAAGATAAGAAGATAATGTACACACAGTAATGCTGGGTAGATATTTTGAAGTAAATCCACTCCTGCTGAGACATTACTGGGCCATTACTGGCTTTATAAGAGCCTACACTGATCAGCCATAACATTATGACCACCTGCTTAACACTCATGTCACTCTCCAGCTCACTGTGCATCTTCTGTGAATCTGTTTGCTTCCATAGTTCTACTGTCAGGAAGAGCATGAATGTGTCGACCATTCAGTGAAAAACTTATGTAAAGGAATGAAAACTGTGGTGCTGAGGACGTGTTAGAGAGAATTGTTTAGACTAATTCAACAGCCTCCCCACTCTAGGTGTGATATCACCACTATAGCTGCTGAATGTTTCTCTTCATAGAGACCAGTGTACAGTGTTTCTCATTTTCAACCATTTTAACAAAGATTTAATCAAAATTGAATCTTTTGAAAAGGATGAATGAAATTTAAAGTTTAATCTACAGTAGATCAACATCATCATCAGTGAGCCCTGGGCGTCCATGACCCTGTCACCAGTTCACCATTTGTCCTTCCTTAGACACTGTAGGTAGGTACTAACCACTGCAGACCAAGAACACCCACCAAGACCTGCAGTCTGGGAGATGATCTGACCCAGTCATCAGCCATCACAGTTTGGCCTTTGTCAAAGTCACTCAGATCCTTAAACTGGCACATTTTTCCTGCTTCCAACTTCGAGGACTGAATGTTCACTTGCTGCCTAATTCACCCCACACACTGACAGGTGCCACTGTAACGAGATAATCAGTGTTATTCACTTCACCTGTCAGTGGTCATAATGTTATGGCTGGTGGGTGTATTTACAGCATATTAAGGATGAAAGAAAATGTACATTTGCTTTCAAGCTATGAAAATGCTTGCTTTTTTTTTAATTGAAACTGACAATAACAGATAATGTCAACTGCAAAACAGCTTAAAAAAACAGATAAAGTGTCAGATTTGAGTTGTTCTCTTGGGACAGCTGTCTATTTTTGGTAACCTCACAGAGGCATGCCACTGCCTGAGAAGCACTTAGAGGCAAATACAAGTCTCAAGTCTGAAAGACCTCGTGCACAGCTCTAAAATATATTTTCTAAACAAATTTAGATAATCACAGAATCACAGCAATTTCGAGCTGTACTGATAGGGAAACCATGCATCTGGCTAAACCTGAGCACAGAACAAAGCAGATACCACTGAAGAATGTGGAAAACAAGTAGCCGCACCTTTCTCTTTCACTGTCAGCGTGAAGTTCCTGAAAATGGTGGTAGAGGGACTGTAGAACTCAAACTCAAACTTGCGAAACACTTGGCACTCATAGAACCCACTGTCATTATAGGTGACGTTAATGAGCCGAATGGAGACGTCTTGTAAGTCCTGGCTTCCATTCCAGAACAGACGACCCTTAAATGTTCCATTCAATTCTGTTGGAGTGCCATACTCATACTTGAATATCTAGGAGACATGAAAAGCAAGCAGGCATGCATGAAATGTACATCCACACAGTTTACAATAGTATGAAGACAGAAACTTGTACATATAATCATATCATAAACAATAGTAGCAGCATCCTACATGAGTTTTATGAGCTGGACCGTTTTCTTTGTTTGGCGTGTAGTACCAGTCCACACGTGTCTTTGCTTTGACCTCCTCCCTTTTCAGACAGGCGACGCAGATCAACTTCATGGGTTCCCCCAGGATGGCTTCAGTGTCAGACGGGGCATCGACACATACTGGCTGACTCACATGGACTGGGGGAACACGGAAATGTGACAAACATTTAGTTCAGCCTGGCAAAAGGCCAATCAAAATGTTCAAGTTCAAAGTTCACCTCAACTCAAAGCTGTTGTTTTTAGTATGACATCACTTGGATGTTTGATGCTCACTGTGCAGAAAGACGTGTGTGCAGAGTTTGATGCTCACCTGCTGTGCTCACCTTAAATCTCACTTTAAGATGTGTGAGGACAGGGTGAGTACAACTAGGTTTGGGGGCCAACCTTGGTCAAATATGTAACTTACAGTACATGGGTGGGAGAAGGAAATGCAAGTCTAATATTCTGTTTTTTGTTACTGATACTCACACTGTGTTCTGCACCTTGAAGACAAGACTCATCGCTAAACCAAAGAGTTTGCCTCAGACTCGGGCCAGTGTAAATCCAAGAGCATTTCAAAGTAAAAGTGCTTAAAGACGCAGCTGTAATTCATCATGTACAGATTCTATATGAGGGATACATTGTTTTTCAGAGTATAACCACAAAGTACATGGTCAGTGATTCTACTTTCAGTCTTTATTCAATGACTACGATAATACAACCACGCATACTGTACTACAGTGACACAGTTTTTTCTGTCGTAATAAAAAGTGTTTCCTATTACGGTCATCAGCTCTTGCACTCTTGTGCATTGAATCCAATGTTGAGCAAGATACAAAAGTCAGTAGGCATTAAAAAGGCATCAATTCAATTATACGGCTCTGTGAGCACTGCAGCGACTGGAGTCTGATAGCAACTCCAGGATCATCCAGGCCATGTAAGCACTAATTGTGGCATCTGTCCATTAGCATTAGCTGGCAGAGGAAGGAACAAATGGAGGGAGGGATTGCTGGATGGAGGTACTATAGGAGGAGTGTACAGTATTGTAGGCTAGAGGCAAGAAGTGAAAGATTTGATTGGTACTGTAAACACATTAAAAGAGATAGGATCATTAGAGGAAGGCAGTACAAGAAAACAGAGATGCTTCTAAATACAAGCATGGATTTTCTTGTAACATTACTGTAAGTAATGTACTCTTTGTGTCACTGTTGCAGTGTTGGATCTAGGGCTTTTATATAACCCAACGTCCCTTTTAGCAGACAGTGTCAACATTTATTTAATTACTTACTGAGGACGAAGAGCGCATAGACACAGCGTTAGAAACGGAGAAAGGGAAAAGGGGAAAGCTTAACCTTGGTGTCCTCTGTTTGAAGAATCGATTTATTTCACTTAAGTCCTGGCACCACTGACCAGTACTGCACTCTGCAGACGTCAGCAGGACTGTTCTGAAAGTGGTGTCTGAGTTCACCTCCAGCTGGAAGGTTCCTAAGCCATTAACAAGGCCCGTGATAACTCTAAGCATCGGTATAACGCTGGGATAAGGCATGCAATATTCACAAGTAATTGTATGCATCTTGTATGCACAGTTATACTTACCGACAAAAATCAAAAGTACCCAAGTTTGCAGATGAACTCTGGTTTGAGTTACCATATTAAGCTTCGTGTGTCGCTGCCGATTGATAACGTTCCCCTAACAGTTACTTTCTGGAGAAACCTTTAAGCCGTCTTCACACGAGACCAGGAGCGAGATAACGGGAGGTGTCGAGACGACTTCAGGACCACGGACAGCGCCTCTCCTCAGCTGACAAAGCAGGTAACTTTCACTTCACGCCTGAAAATCCGAACCAAACCGGCTTTACGCGTTCACCTACGGATTTCAGTCCACCAGCTACCCACGCCTCGCTAATTATAATCTATTTTGAAGTAGCAAACGTCATGATATCATCCACTTGGTGAAAAAGTCCGTGATGTGAGGCAGCTACTCCAGTGATGCAACAGATCCTTCGCCCACAGCTGCCGCCATTCAGTCTAGATCCGTCCAGAACACGGAATAAAAAGACAAAAAGCCAAGAGGAAGAACCTGTGGATTCGCAAAAGCCGAGTTACTCACTTATTGTTGCGAGATCCGGAGCTTTGCTCGCACACACAAACAGCAAAAACAACGAAAACAGTTGTGTTATTTCAAAGAATACCACTCTTGATTATCTGAAGACTATTTCCTCCATTAGTAATGGATGATGACATTTCCCGGCCGCGGATCGCTGCCTTTGTTTTCCAGCGCTGGCAGAAGCGGAGGCTTAGATACGCATGCGTGAGTCACTCCCTCCTACACTACAATGTGCATGACCATGTTATTGTCATAGGCCTAACCGAGTCGTCCCGCAAGTCTGTTTGCATTTGCTTTGCTTTTCTTATAACTGCAGGCTGATGAGCCAAACAACCCAAATGGAAGACCTTTTACTCAACACATTTGCTACACATCAGCACTTGCATTATTCGTCTTTGTAATGTTATCTTGGTCCAAAGACAACAACAGGACCGGTGTTGAGAGGATACAGTGGCTCAGTTGATCGTGTTCAGCTATTTAAATTATTGTAGCTGCCCGCTTACAGCCTTCTGGCTGCAGGAAGAGGCTCGCAGGTTTACAAAGTGAGCATACTCCCCACAATATGCATGCATTCCCAAATGTGTCTATACACAAAACCATGAAACAGTACTACATATGCTGTAATTCCTAGCCTGAATCCATATTTTGGAATCATATGAATGCTAAGCACATACACAAACTAATCTATATCTTTGGCTTATTGCAGCAACAGAGCTGATAAAATACTGTGCAGGACATAACCCACTAATCTAATGATCTTCCATCCTCTGGAGTTTATCCTCTAAAAGGCTTGACCTTTTCTGCCAGATTCTATATGTCACTGGTTTCCATACTGTTTGACTGCCTCTCTTTTTTCTGTGATGTTTGATGTAATCTGTCAACTCTGTGAAAGAACAAAGGAAAAACAGGTTAATTTGAGCTGCTGACACTGTGTCCTGATGGAGCTGCAGTAATTTCACTGCAACATGACAGCGTTTATCTAGCAGCTATCGTATCTGAAGTAATAAGAGGATTAAACACCTGCATTTCTGATAAAAAAAAGCTATAAGTGAACTTTTTAAAAAATCTGTAAATACAAAATGAGCATGCCTGTAGAATACACTGTATTAAAGCAGTACAAAACTGAAAACTGCTGAAAGAGAGAATCAATAGATTTTTGTGGTAGTTCTTGGAGTCACCGGTGTATATATTAATATAAAAAGAACAGCAAAGAGGCACTGAGCCCTTGTGTTGCTGTCAGCATCAGCAATAGGCTGGCGCTTCCAGACGCAGACTAAATATGGCAGGCTTTGGTGAACCACATCCTGCATATAAGAAAACCATAGCAACAGTAATGAGGTGCCATGGTGACTACAGGAGGCCTGCTTAGCGACAGCCGCAGGCTCAGAAAGACAACAGGAAGCCTCAGAGCAGACTATTTTACAGGCATCCAGCACGGCTGACTTTTTGTTTCAACACAAAGTAAAGCATTTAAAATGGAAAAAAAGGTGAATTATGTGTTTTCACTTTTCAAGTGTTCTGTGTTCAGGTTCAGAGGTATTCAACATATAGTGATGAATACAGCACATTTTAAGTATTTGACAGAAAAGTTATCACAAAGACAGTACCAACTGTGAAACAGGAGAGAGTGAGGGTAATTTGCAGAAGTGACC